GCACCATCTCAACCGTCCGACTCATGTTTCCTGGTGATCATGCCGCCTCCACAGTGCATTGGGTCTTGGGTTGCAAATGCCCCGGTTCTTTCCACATTCCACAGTCGTCAAGCCTCTTGGTGATCATCTGCGGCGCAGCCTACATCTTGGCTCCCTTCCCTTCGAGCTTCGAGAATTGTTCGAGAGTCGTGCCGCAGCCCTGCACTATACAAAGTAATGGAAAGAAATCGGATTGTAGAAACGTAGGTACATTTGACAAGAGTAACATTCTTGCCTTGGACTGTTCCCCCAATCGCCCTACCTGGGTCCTCCACCTCAAGTTGCTTGTCTCGTTCTGTTCGGATTAGAAGAAAAAAAAATGAAGGAGGAGAAGGAGAAGAAGAAGGCTCCACAGGAAAATGAGTTTGTTTTGCCTCAATGAACCCGAGGAGGGGCAAGGACGGGAAGGTACTTACTTACCTTGGTAAGTTAGGTACTTCCAGGTTTTTGTGCGAATACGTTCTCGTACCTGAGGCTTGCAGTCACCATGTAAGGTAGTAAGGTACCTTGGGTAGGTACAATGTAAGGTAGTAAGAGCCAGCCAAGTTCGCGACGCAGGTAAGGTAAGGCAGGCCCTTCCTTAGCCTCCTTCCCTCCTACCTGGGACGGCCTTGGGCCGAAGGGTGGAAGGAGGGAGGAACCTGAGAAATTTGATCTTATCAGATCCGAAGATAACCCCGAAATCGCATCATGACCCCTCCCCTGACCCCACTTGGTCGTGCAAACTGAGGTGTTCATCATTGATTTTTTTTTTCTAATGTCGTGTTCTTGTCTCACCCCTCCCTCATTGTCCACTTTTCTTTTCCGTCCCCTTCGCTTTTCACATTTTGTCTCTCCTGCATCCAGGTCCCCCCGTCCGATTTCTGCATCCTTTCGCGACTAATTTGGGGTGGGTCTTGCTGGCACCATCGATCTGCGTCATCTGGAAAACCGTCGCCGAAAAGTTCTCGTAAACCGACGGCCTTGGTCTGGTCTAAGGTACTGCACGGCCATCACGCTCGTGAAGTTTCTTCACGGCACGCCTCGATGTCATCGCCATTCTCCGGCGGCTTCTAGTCTCAACGGCCTGTACCCGATCCTCCCAACATGCCAGACACCCCAGTACTCAGAGCATCGAGACAGAATCATGGCAAGAGGCACACTGTGACGAACAGACAACTTCCGCAGCGAGGAGAGGAGTCGCAAAAGTCACAGGCACTACGAATAGGATATGACTGGGAGTGAAGAACATATCGATCAATACCTTGTTTACCTCTTACTAGTATCAGCTGAGTCTTTCCAGGGTCCAGTCAACGTCGTTGTCCTCCCCGCGATGGGAGAAAATGTTCGTCTGTCGTTTGTCTATCGTCTAGGCACTCCGTCTGACGCTCAACCCGCCGTCGCGTCTTCAGTCGCTTCGGTATTTTTATTCTAGCTTCTGTGCCTCCGGTCCATCCCTCCCGTCCGCTCCACTCTTGTGGCCCGGCACATGCAAACGAGCCAGTAACGCCAAGTGCTGCGACCGCCGCTCGCCGCCGCTGATGCTGAACACCATCTTGAACGGATTAGTTCGGTGGTTATGGGGTCCTCTTCTTCATTCCTCGTCCCGTCCTCGTGCAACGCTGCTCTATACCTTACCTTAACCTTCTCCGTCAACCAAAGCGCATTTTCCCCTCTTGTCTGTGTGTACGAATACGTACAACCCTTCATTGTACCCATGATTCCATCCCCCTAACTGTTCCTCCATTCACCCAAGGGCCACTTACACCATGTACCATGAACATGACCTTGGCATGGGTTCCAGCCTGCGAGACCCAGACCAAGACCCAGGACCCAGACCCTCCCAGGGGATCCCTTACTAGCGAGCCCATCTCTGGAGTCAGCCCGTTGCGACTCTGTCCCTGGCCCCGACCCCTGGATGTGGAAAGGCGTCCGTTGTGGATGGCCTCTTGCTTTGAGCCCAGCTGGCGCTTCACTCTTTGTGCAGGAGGTACGCCAATACCTACGGCAACCTACCTCTTCTGCGCAGCTCTCCTCCCAAGAAAGATGAGCTAGGGCCCTGTCCTACACAGGCCTTCTCCGGCAGAATGACAGGATCGCGGCATCGATGTTGCCCCATTCGCGCGAAGAACCGAATGTTGCAATTTGAGTAGGCTCCTCCAAATACGTCTAGTCCTCAGCCTTTGGGGCGTGTAACCAAACGGCATGTACAGAGTACCCCTACCCAACCTCCATTTGCTCGTTCGTGAGCTCCGAGGCGAGGGCCCAGCTTCGAACATGTCGGTCGATCACGCCGCCTCAATGGGACGCGGGCATTCATCGACGTCTGTCCGTTTTACATATTAGCCCCCTCGGTGCCCCTCCTCTTCCCTTGGACCTTATTCCTGTGCGTCTCTCGATTTCTCACCAGCTTCCACTTCCTCCCCAAGCCTTCCCTCAATCGCCCATTCAACCTGTGGCCCATCTTCATTATACCCAGAGGCTTCAACCAATACGCCACTTTTTTCGACAGCCGATGACGAACAGTGTGGCTTAAGACTACCGTGGGTCGATCACAAGGCATTGGACGAAGAAAAAAAGGTTCTACCTAAGCACACCATAAAAAATACCCCGCGCACTTTCGCACCCGCATCCCACATTTACACCGGGCTTTTATTCAACCCGTCTTAAAATCAAAAGTAACGGATTCAGGTCAGTTGATGTGCTCCCACTCTCCCGGCAGTGAGATTTCAAAGGCCTGGAAGCTGATGGTCTTAAAGCCCCTGCTCTTCCCGCCTAGTGACGTTGTCATTGGCACATTGATTGCTCGATTCGCCATCAAATAATACCCTCAACCGCTCTCTGCGACTTGTCCATATACCCAGCACACACACACACTTACAGCAAACTACGTAATTTCACTCCCACCGTCACCAACACCACCACCACCAATCACCATGTCCCCTCACTGCGACTCCCCGACCAACGGCTCCGACGCCGGCAGCGGCTTCTCTTCCTACCACGGCAACGGCAACGGCAATGGCTACACCAATGGCAACGGAGCCGCTTACCAGAACGGCAACGGTGTGAATGGCCACCAGAACAATGCCTCCCGCATCCAAAAATCCCAGTACCTCCAGCCCACCGACCCTAGCGAAATCCACGATCTCATCTGCGTTGGCTTCGGCCCCGCTAGTCTGTCTGTCGCCGTCTCCATGCACGACTTTCAAGAAGCAGGCCGCCAGCTCGCCCCCGGCTCAGCCCAAGCCAAGGTGCTCTTCCTCGAGAAGCAGCCGGACTTCGCATGGCACCCGGGCATGCTCCTCTCTGGTGCCCGTATGCAGATCTCCTTCATCAAGGATATGGCCTCGCTACGCAACCCGCGCTCCCAGTTCACCTTCCTCAACTATCTCCACAGCAACGACCGCCTAGTTGAGTTCACCAACCTGGATACTTTCCTGCCCGCCCGCGCCGAGTACGAGGACTACCTCCGCTGGTGTGCTCGCCACTTTGACGACGTCGTTGAGTACGGCCGTGAGGTCGTCTCCGTCTCTCCCGACCCTCAGACTGCCGGCAGCATCAAGACCTGGACCGTCAAGTCTCGCAACATCAAGACCGGCCAGGTCAGCTCCTACCAGACCCGCAATGTCCTGATTGCCAACGGCGGCCAGCCGCGCATCCCCAAGGTCATGCCTGCCAACCACCCCAAGATCATCCACTCTTCCCAGTACGCCCAGCTTGTCCCCCAGATCCTCAAGGACAACTCGAGGCCCTACAGAGTCGCCGTCGTCGGTGCCGGCCAGTCCGCCGCCGAGATCTTCCGCGACGTCCAGCGCGCGTACCCCAATGCGAAGACGTGGATGGTGATGCGCTCCGAGTTCCTCAAGCCCGCCGACGACTCGCCATTTGTCAACTCCATCTTCAACCCCTCGTACGTCGACGAGCTGTACCCGAAGTCCCAGAGCTACCGCCGCGCACTCATTAAGGAGGCCAAGGCGACCAACTATGGTGTCGTGAGACTCCAGCTCATCGAAGCCCTCTACGAGATGCTGTACCACCAGAAGCGCACTCTCGGCTACGACGAGCGCAAGTGGCCCCACCGCATGCTCTTCGGCCGCGACATCACCCAGGTCACCGAGAGCAAGGAGACCGACCGCCTGCAGATCCACGTCCGCCGTCTCGAGGACGCCGTCGGCGACAGCCTCGGGGATGGTTTCGTCAGCCAGCTGCCTGGTGACGAGGTCCTCGACGTCGACCTGATTGTCGCGGCGACTGGCTATCAGCGCAACGCCCATATCGACATGCTCCGCGACAGCTGGAACCTGCTTCCCGAGGTCACCCCGGCCGGCAACACCAGCGAGCGCGAGCTCGTCGATGGGTGGGAAATCGCGGGCCCTGACGCGACCTCGGGATCGAGAAAGCTCGAGGTCGGACGCGACTACCGTGTGCGTTACGCCCCTGGCGCTGTGGCGCCCGAGGCTGGTGTGTTCCTGCAGGGATGCTGCGAGGCGACCCACGGAGTGAGTTGAACCCCGCCCCTTTTCGATCTCTTCCCCTCTACATGTGACATTTTGACTAACGGGATTTCTTCAACAGCTGAGTGATACCCTTTTGTCAATTCTTGCCGTGAGATCGGCCGAGGTTGTTGACTCCATCTTCCCCTCTGCCCCGAGGGCCAAGACCGTTTCCAACTAGACGTGTTTTACGACCTTATTCTTATTAGAAAGACGGGGAAATACATTTCATGGATCTTTTGAATTAGTCATTGACACGAAAAATGTGTACTGACGACATCTCTTTATGTGTATGCCTTGGGCGGTTTTCAACATTTCTTCGGAAGTTGGGTTGAAAAAGAAAAAAAAGACATGGCGCGGAGTTTTTCTGTTTTTGATTTCCAATACTCCTGGTTCAATAAACCGTTATTTTTTCTCATGAGACCCTTGAGCACCGTCGATTGGGGCGATTTTTATATGCTCGAAATGTTTGGCTCATTGTATGCAAGTTTAGATGGAATAGTTATTACTGTACAATTGTGCGTCGTTGCTTTCAACCCACGCTATGAGCTCTTGATACAACGCGCCGCTCTCCGTCACGGGATACGCTTGACTCGGGCCGGGCGGGAAGGTCTGCTGCTGAGACTGTTGTGAATATGTCGTCGACGTTGTCGGTGTGCTAATACTGCTGCTAGCGTTCGTAACGTCGTCCGGCGTTAGACCAGGGGTCAAAGGACCTCCGCTGACACCGCCAGCGTGGGCGCTGTAGCCGACCTGACCGTCCAGACGTAACCGCTGGACCAGAGACTTGAGATCTTTTAGGACGGTGGCACAGTCGCGAGCGTAGTTGCTCTCGGTCTTGGCCTCTTCTTCAAAAATGCCAATGGCAAAGTTGACGTCGTCAGACTCCGCGGGCGGCGAGAAGACGAGCTCTTCCAACATGAGAACGATGGCGGCATTGAATACGTAGTGAAGTCCCGCCTGCAAGAACTTGCGAGACCCACCGTTGAGACTCATCATCCAACGGGCTAGGTACATGTTTTGATGGGCCGCCATGGAGCAGGAGCTTATGCGGCGCGCGTGGTGACTGAATTCCCAATGGCGGTCTGAGGTGATGTAGCGCTCGGCAAAGGTCTTTTTGACAGCAGCAAAGAAGATGGGACGGACAACAAGGATTAAAAGCTGCAGATTCCGGGAAGGTTTTAAGTTAGTACGGGGATACAACGGTCTTCTGGATTCCCGCATTCAGGGAGGGGTATGATAAAGGGGAAACAGGGGGGATTGTATAACTTTGTCCGTATTCGGAGGAGCTGAGCAGGGAGGGGAAGATGGCTTGGCAAACCCAGCTTACCTGGTTGTATGCCATATGCAGTAGACAGCATGAGGGATCGGTACTTGGTTGGGATGGAGAGATTTGCAGGGTAGGCGGTAGTGATGACTGCCAGTTCTCGAGCAGTTGCAGCGCTCGGTCGATATGCCGCGCCGCACCTCCGGGACGGTGATCCCAGGGAGCGACTCTATACGTGTTGCAGACAATGTGGCCCGAAATGCGGGCCAGCTCGACGTGGGCTTGAAGGCCGGCTGCAGGGGGCAACGAACTGCATGGGGGGTTGGTCATTGTGTTAGACGAAGGTGTTGTTGTTTCGGTCGGTATCCATCGGAGATGTCTCCGTCAGGGAGGACGGTCAGGGGTTGGGAACGAGAAGGGGGAACTTACGGAGCATCGCAAGGCAGTGGCAGTCGAATAGCATCGTCCATAATGATGGGTGGGCGGCCCATAAGACAGCTCAACCAACGATCGAGGATATACAGAGTCCAGAAAACGCGTTTACCTCGTTCGTCGACCCAGCCACGGTGGGCACCGTGCATGATGGAAATATGCATGGCATTGCTGACGTAGATGTAGGCAGCATCGCGGCGGTTCATCTCGATGAGGTAGAAGCCCATCAGTGCCAGGACGGCAACATCACTGATGGTATACCGCGTGATATCAAGAGGATTGCCCAGCAACATTCGGGCGCGGGCGAAGTAGCTCTGGCTCAAATCTCTGGGGACAGGCATCGAATTCGCTGTCGTATTCGCCTGGCATGCGACGGCAAAGGCTGTGTGGTAAAATGCAAGGTGACGGTAATTGTCGCAAGCGACCTGGGGGGAGGTCCCGGGCGGGAACGCCACGGGGTTTGGGTCGCTGGGCACGGTGCCGAGATCGCCCCACCAATAAATGCCGCCGCAAGGGAAGCTACCATTGCCGTCCTGGATGAAATAGCGGAGGTTGACGAGCATGGCGGACATTTCGGTCCGGGACGGAAGAGAGAGGGGATCCGCAGTCGATTCGACTTCTATGGGGCGAGAGTCGTACGTCTGATAGCTTCCGAGGGAAGATAGAAATGTTAATCCGTTGTTTGGCGTAGGCGAAAGCCACGGCCTGTTGAAAGCTAGCGGTGAGACGGTGGACATAAACTCTTTGAGGTAGTCGAGGAATGTTGCACCAGAGGTCTCGCCAAGAAAACGGGCTCTTCCGTCCTGATCCTGCAGTCGGCGGCCGTCGGCGGTCTCGGTGACGATCTCGTTACTCGCTGCGTCGTAAGCATCATGCGGCTCTGGAGGCGTGATGGACGGAGCCGACCCGGCACGAGAATCCTTTACGTCGACATCCTGTTGCAGCAGCAACTGTCTCGAGGCATCGTCGGGTACGGCAAGCTGCAGAGCCCGTTCAGCAATCTCAAGCTTCCTCCTCAAGTCATCTAGATCGTTACGAGAAACTGAGACTTTCTCAATGACGGTAGGATACTGGCATTCTCGCGACGAGCTACGGCATTGGCGGCACGGCCTCTCACCGGAACATTTGATGCGGCGGACATTGCAGCTATTGCACCTATAGAAGTAGTTTAGTAAAGCGAGTTTGTAGAGAGCAAGGCTGAATTCAATCGAAACCCATGCCTGGTGAGAGGTGTTGCAGAAGGAGGGTGGTAGGCAAGGAAGGCAGGGAGATGGAACTTCGAGAGTGACAGACGATGTCAGATGATGAGACGGGAGAATCCAAAAGCAACTTACGCTGTTGCGACGCGCTTCCGCTGCTCTGGAGCTACCTTGTGCCGTCGCGGATTGACAGGTAAGCGAGATGCACGATTGGAGTTTTCAGTCTGTTCTGGCTGCTGCTGCTGCATCCTGGTTCTGCGGGATAGTGAGACCGCATGTCACCGCTCCGCCGGACCTTGTGGACGGAGATGAAGATGAGAGTGATGGTGTATGTGAGCTTTGGCAGTTTGGTATGGTTTGGCGAGGCGTGGCCGTCAGCCAAAGACCAAGGCAGGCTGTCGTCGCCGGGGGGGGG